GAGAGGGTCCGGCCCACGCTGCACCTGGGCTGGGACTGGTCCCGCCGGCGCAGGGTAGCCTCTAAAATAATTTTTTAAGAGGAAGTCTTAAAGCATGGCTTGGTAGTGCACACCTATAAACCAGTGAAGCTGAGGCAGAAAGATCGCAAATGGAGCTCAGCCTCCTACTCAGTTTAATGACTGAGCAAGACCCTTTCTCAAAATAAAAAGGAAAAAGGGTCGAGGATGTAGCTCAGTGTGAAGGCTCTGGATTCAATCCTCATTAACATATGCATAAAAGATATGTGCCTGTTATATTATTCAGGGTGGCCTTGAACTCCTGGGCCAACAAATCCTCCCTTTTCAGTCTCCCAAGTAGCTGGAACTGCAAAAGCTTGCCATGTCTCTGAGCATCTCAGACCTTAACAAGGCTTCAGACAGCAAAAGCAGGTGCATTGCCAATTGCATTTTAAAGCATTTGCAGTCCAAGGATAAAGTCTTAGATATCTTTGACCCGGAATTCTTGTAAAGAATATTAGTCATCCACACAGTTCTGGCTCTGAGCACTTGATTTAGCAGCACATATGCTAGAATTGGAACCGTAGCAAGAATATTAGCATGGCCCATGCACAAGGATGGTGACACCCAAGTCCATGAAGTGTTCCCAGAATGCCACCACATACCTGGTTCATCCTGGGAGTTTTACATATTTTTAGGTTTAGTGAGAAGCAGGATTAAGTGAGAAACACTCCTAAAAACACACAAAAAAATTCTGACTCTGAATTAGGTATTAAAAGTGATTGTTGAACAGGACACACACACAGAGAGAAAAGAGTTTTTCTGGGAAGTCATGGAAAGAAATAGGAAAAAACCTTTCTATCATAAGAAAAGATCCATAAGAAAAGTAAGGTGAATTAAGCATGGTGGTTCAGACCTATAACTCCATTGGAGGCAGGGGCCAGTAGGATGGCAATCCAAGACTTTTTTTTTTTTTTTTTTGAAACAGTGTCTTATCATATAGTCTTGACTATAAAAAGAAAGAAGAAAAAAATCAACTATCATGGTACAGGCAATGCCCAAAATGTTCCAACTTAATTGATTAGTCAGAAGTCAGAAAAGCACCTATAGCCTTAAAGAGAAAATCACCATAGGACATTCTTCCAAAGCCAGTCCTCCTGCCCAGCCCCTTCCTTTGCATTCATTACCCTCACTTTTTGTGTGAGGTATCACTCAAAGTAAATCATTCTTGAGTTCTTTAGAGGGAAGAAAAGCATTTTCAACATAAAATAGTGGAAAGATAGTAATTGTAGAAATGAGGAAGGGTTTATGAAAACCAGAACCTAGTCCAGAGGATATTAACATCAGGACCAAAGAAAATTAGGAACTTTAGTTAACAACACCTAACACAGGGCCTGGAGAGATGGCTCAGTAGAATAAGCGTTCATCTGGCAAGTGCAAGGGTCTGAGTTCAATCCCTGGTTCCGCAAAAAAGAAAGGCTTCATTGACAGAAATGCATGCGTAAGGTCAGCCTAGCACTGGGATCTGTTGAATGGATAATGTGTAAAAGAAACTTTTGCGGCCAGGGAGATGGTTCAGTGGAATAAGTGCTTCCCTGGAAAGCACAAGGGCCTGAGTTCAATCCCTGGTTCCGGGGCGGAGGGGAACCTGAGGTAGGAGATTAGGGTGTGGCCAGGAATTTGGGCAAGTGGGCATGACCTGTCGATCATAGTGTTATGTTTTGTGTCTAGTTGTCCCCTAAAAGCCTCATGCAGTCATGGAGCAGGGACTTCTAGAGTTTGAGATTAATTCACGATGAAGGCTGGGATTATGGGTCTTAGTACTGCTGGGATTATGGGTATGAGTACTTCCCCCAGCCTGGGGTAGAGAGCCTGAATGCAATTTAAGAGAGACAGACTTACTTCCTTAGCTATTTTCTTGCTGCTACTTCTCCTTTGTGTTCTTGCTCTTTGTCACCACCATGAAAGGATGCTCTCTGCCCTGTGTCACTCTGCCTTGGAGCCAGCTGAGTGCGGACTGAAACCTCCAGTAACTGTGAGCTAAATAGACCTTTCCTTCCTTCATTTTGAGTGTGGAGTGTTTGTTGCAGCAACAAGAGAAGAGTAACTGAGACATATGGAGATCCAGGATACATGCATGAAAAATAGTTTCCACGTCCTGCACCTGGAACAACCCAGAAAGTGCTATGTTCAATCCCTCTGGTACGAAATCAACCAAGTACTTAATAACCTTCATCTGATATTGACCTCGGAAACTGAGAGCTACAAAGACATCTACTATTAGCCTTGTGGCCACTGGGAGCTTTCTCAGTGACCTGCTCTCATTCTGCAGAGATGTTCTCGCATACACCTGTGTTCTCTAGGGTCAGGACCACCATGTAGGCTACAAGAGAACACAGAGAGCATCTGATTAAACCTTATGAAATAAAAAATAGGAGGACACCATTTCCGATGGAGCTCTGGCACTGGGCCCCAACAGACCAAACTAAACATCAAGAGATCTGCTGCCCCTCTAAAGGCAAATCTGGTTGTTGTCTGACTTCAGAGCAACCAGGAGCAAGAGATGACGGGCAAATTTCCAACTGGGCCATTAATGTTAGCAGGAGAATAAAATCCTTCCTAGTTTAATTAATACTCCCACCCCACCCCAAAAAAAAGTGACCTGAAATTTTTCTGGTTTTCTGCCCAACTTCAATTATAAAAAAAAGAAATTTTGAAATTATCAACCCACTCCATGTTTTTGTTTCGGCTTTTTTTTTTTTTTTTTTTTTTTCTTCAGAACCAGGGATTGAACTTGGGCCCTTGCGCTTGCCAGGGAAGCACTTATTCTACTGAGCCATCTCCCCAAGTCCCTGTTTCTACTTTTCTCAGACCTTCTTGGTTTATAAAGCCAAACTGACCTGCTCAGCCCATTGGAACACTGCTTCTGTTTTAGGGAATGAAGTATGTTGAAAAGTGGTTTCTGAGAAAACCGAGCTTTCCCGATGCAGAGGAATGAAGTCACAAACCAAAAGGAGGAAGTTACAGTCTTTATGGAAAATAGGGAGGAAAAAAAACCAGTTTCCTGGTATTCCCAGAAGAAGAATCTGGGAAGTGGCCTTCAACTGGTGGCAGTCCTGCTTCGGCCTCCCAAATCCTGGGATTGCAGGCGGGCACCAACATGCCTGACCCGTTACATGAATTTAAAATGACCAGTTAGAACTTATGCTCTCTGATCCAGTTATGCAGGATGCAGAGGCTATAGGAAACTGGGAGCTTAGAGAGGAAATAAAATGATTATTTTGTAATTAAATTTTCTCAAAACTCAAGACCTTAGTAGGGAGGGGCTGCTCTTCCCTTTAGTAAGGAATGGTCTGCATTCCCTACTGCTTAAGGAAGTCCATTCCTGAACCCAACCAAGTCCCTAGTTCAGTGTTTGTTCTTATTTTAATTCCCATCAATATGGCTGGTCACCCCACTAACTCGGGCTCTTTCCCTAGTGTTCCTGGTTTATGGGGTGCTGGCATCTCCTCCTGGACTAAGTTTCTACATTCTTTGTGTCCTGAACAAAGAATTGGTCAAGACAAGCACAAATGATGATGCAGTTTCATTAAAGGTGGGAAAAGAAACAGGTGCTCCAGAGTGAGTTTGGGGCAAGTAGAAGTAGGACTAGCTGTGCACCTGACAGTGTGAGGGGGCCACCGTGGAAGAGAGGAGACAGAGGCAAAAGCTGAGTGCAGATCATCCTTTTTGGATCACCCACTCCTTAGGCTCACGTCAGGTCCTGTGGAAAACCTGCTGGAGTTCTGGAAAGAAGCCCAAGGGCAGGGCTCTGGGAGCTGTCCTGTGTGAACTCTGGCTCTAATTAACACATTACTTCCCCTACCACCTTTATCACACTTTATCTTCTATTTCATTTATCTAGCTGCCCTACTCATAAGCTAGTTAAACAAACTATTTTGGGGGTTGTCAATTCTAGATTTGAAAAATAAAGCCAATTAAAATCTTTAAGTTAGGGCTGGGGAGATAACTCAGTGGTCTAAGCACCTGCCTGGCAAGCACAAGGACCAGGGTTCAATCCCGAGTACCACACGCCAGGCCAACCCCAGAACCCCAGGTGTACTCTGGCCAACCCCAGAACCCCAGGTGTACTCTTGCCAACCCCAGAACCCCAGGTGTACTCTTGCCAACCCCAGAACCCCGGGTGTACTCTGTCAGCATGATGGCACGTGCCTGTAATCGAGCACTGGGGAGGCTGAGACAGGAGGATTGCTGTCATTCTAAGCTGTGTAGCAAGACTCTGTGCCAAATAAATAAATACATATATTTTTAAATCTTTATGTTAAATTTGTTGTCATTTTGTCACCTGACAACCCTCATTTTGTAAATGAAGATGCTAATTCCCAATACAATATCCACCAAGAAGAAAATCAACTTAATAGAGAACACACAAAATTATATTCATTTGAGGCTAATTAGGATTGCAGTCTAGGAAAACACAAACTGAACAATCTTACCAGTGTGCTCTCATACAGCACAAAATGGAAACTGCACTCAGATTTCTTGTTTTAATTTTGCTTGAGGCAGGATCTTACAGTGTAGTTCAGGCTGCCCTTGGACTCGCTGTGAAGCCCAGGCTGGCTCCAGACTCAGGGCAATCTTCATTCCTCAGCCTTCAGAGTGCTGGAATGACACCAGCCACCATGCCTGGCTAGTACTTAGAGTTTTAAACCACAGAGGGTTTAGAAATTACTTACTAATCAGAAATTACAGGGGCCAGGGAGATGGCTCAGTATATTAAGTGCTTGCCTGGCAAGCACAAGGGCCTGAGTTCAATCCCTGGTTCCACCAAAA